TCTGACGGCTCCGTGGTCGCCATTGCCGCCCCGTCGCCGCCTTGTCGCCGCTCGTCGTCTGGGCCTGGCTGGCGGTCTGGCGGCTGTGTGGTCGCCGTCGCCGTCGCCGCCTCGTCGCCGCTCGTCGTCTGGTCTTGGCTGGCGGTCTGGCGGCTCCGAGGTCGCCATTGCCGCCCCGTCGCCGCCTCGTCGCCGCTCGTCTTCTGTGCCTGGCTGGCGGTCTTGCGGCTGTGTGGTCGCCGTCGCCCCCCGGTCGCCGCCTCGTCGCCGCCAGTCGTCTGGGCGTGGTTGGCGTTCTGGCGGCAATGCGATCGCCGTCCACGCCCCGTCGCTACCGCGCATAGAGCAAACCGCATAGAGTGCACCACATAGATTCTTGTTTCCTTTTAAAAAAGAAGGTTCTACCACGTCCCCCCCGGACTGATTCACGCCCCGGGGACCACCAGTGTAAAACACAATTGATCATGACCCAATGTCCATCCGACCTGTGAATTCATAGCATCCCAGCCAAATCGGTATCGACCCCCCTCGGTGCCCTTGCAAAACGTTCTATGCGCGCACACTCGCTTGCAAAAACACATGTTTCAAACATCTCTTACGACAAATTTGACGAAGTGCACACCCGCGAGCGTCGTCGCGCGCGCAGGCCGCAATCCTTCACGGTTTCGGAAGGACTTCAAAATCGAGTGTCCAAAACACGAGTAAAACACAGGGTTTCACAACACGGATTTTTCAACAAAAGCGTGCGCGCACGCTCTTGCGAGGTCTGAAGGAAACCATCAGTTTTTCAACAGTTGCACGAAAATGCTACCAAACGGGTTTCGCGCGCGCATGTCGAAATCGTTCGAACGCCTTGCGCGCGTGCCGTCGCGAGAATCCCTGGCAAGGGCTGGGACGAAGTGCACACGCGCGCGTCGTCACGCGCGCATGCCGGAATCCTTCAAAAACATCTGGTTCCGGAAGGATTTCAAAATCGAGTGCCCCAAAAAACATACAGAAACACATGGTTTCGCAACACGGATGTTCAGCAAAAGCGAGCGCGCACGCTCTTGCGAAGTCTGCAGGAAGCCATACGTGTTTCTAACTTTTTCGCGACATGCTACTAAACGGGCTTCGCGCGCGCATGTCGAAATCGTTCGAACGCCCTGGCGCGCTTGCTGGGGTGGCACAATCCGTTTCAAATAATACCGTGCGAGCCTCTCTCGCGCCCCTGCCGCGCGCACATTTCGAATGCCTTCCAAAACCCCCATCACCGAGGCGAAGGCGCCGTCATCGTCGTCGGCGTGATCGGCATCTGCGCCGTCATCGGCACTCATCCTCCTCGTCCTCCTCCTCCTCCTCCTCCTCATCATCATCATACAGCGACTTGTCGGCATTTGTGGGTTTGCATGTGGCCGCACCTCGTTGCTCAAGTTCTTGAGGGTATGCAGGCATTGCTCGAACGCCTCACGCACGATCTCGCCAGTGCACTCTCCACCGCTCTCATCGTCCGAGGGAGTTCGCCTCCGTGCCCCCCCTGCGATTGCGTGTGCTCGCCCGCGCTGCATTGTCCCGCGCTGGAGTGCCGCTGCCCAGACGGCTTAGGTGCGGTGACCGCCGCCCCCTCGGAGGCCGTGGGCGCGGGGCTCTCGGGCGCTGCACTGGGCACCTCGCTGCTCCTCGGCGCACTGGGCGGCTGGTCGCTCGCCCGCTGGGCTTCGCGCTGCGCGGCGCCCCCGTCTCGTAAGCCGTTTGCGCTGGAGGCGGACGTGCGCCCGACTGACTTGGCAGTGGAGGCGGCAGCGCAGGCTGCTCGCTTTCGCAGAGCATAGTCGGGACGGCGACGCCCGTCGAAGGGCAGTTCCACCTCGTGAGGTACAACGTGGGCGGCCCTGCGATCGACCACGAGCGTCTGACGCTGTTGCCTGGGTACATCCTCGCGCCCGACGGCGATGACTACGCCGAGCTCGCTGTCCCGAATCACGACATCCGATCTATTCACATTCTCAGTGGCCAAGGTGAGGGGCTGCCAGGGATACCACCTCAGCACCGATATCAGTTTCGGCAGCTGCCTCGGGCTGCGGAGGTGTGGGCGGCGCTCCGCCGCGCGTCGGCCCAGGGATTCGGAGCGACACCCGCATCGCCATTCTGCATCGACCTGAGCGCCACCAACGTGCTGGGGCTGGCCGCTGGGCCGCTGCCTCTTCCCGACCCTGCAGCCGTCGGACCTGGCGCAGGCGCTGGAGCCCTGGCGCCCGCGGGAGGCCCAGGGGCGCCAGGCGGCGCCCCCCCCCGCGGCGGCAGCCCCGCCGGCTGCAGGCGCCGCCGCCGCGCCGCCCGCCTTCGGCGGCCCTGCAGCTGCTGGACCCCCCGCCGGAGCAGGCGGCGTCGGCGCCTTGGCGGCCGCCCTCGGGGGCGGAGGCGCTGGAGTGCCCGCCGCCGCGGCCCCAGTGCCTGGCGGCGCGCCCGCCGCCGCTGCGCCGCCTCTCGTCGGAGACCCGCGGGTGATGGCGCTGGTGCTCGACGGCCGCGGCGTTCGGGACATCGCTCTCAGCGACGCGGTGAAGCTGCAGACCGAGACGGCGAGGGCCGACTGGCCAGTCAAAGGCCTTCGGACACTGCTCTGGGTCCTTGGTTTCATGCTGCGCATGGCTGGAGGTGCTATGGCATGGCATAACAGATGGATTGCGATGATGCAGTTGGGAGAGTCCGACGAAAGCGTGAAGCTCCACGAGACCCTGTGCCGCGTGATCGAGACCGCCCTCTGCTACGACCAGCTGGTGATATGCGAGCTCGCCTCCTACGAGTACCTCGCCCGCCAGCTTCAGCTGGTGGAGGGGCGCGCGTTCGAGGAGCGCGTGCGGAAGACCCAGCCCGTCCCGAAGGCCAAGGCTCAGGCCAAGGAGCTCGCGGCCGCGGACTTCGGCTCGGAGGTCGGCCACTTCCTCGGCACGGGTGAGACGAAGGGGAACTTGTGCATCTGTCCCGCTCTGATGGATTGGATCGCCGATCAGATGAAGATGGAAGCTGCTGTCGCGAAAGAACGCCGCAAGGCTCGTGAGGAGCGAGCCTAGCGGGCGCCATGACACCCCCTCAGGACCCTGGCCAGGAGGGGCCTCACGAGCCCGTTCCCGTCTCTCGTGAGCCTGGCCAGGTTTGCCCCGAGGCCCTCGTGCCCCCGCCTGGTCTGGGCGCGCCCATGCGCGGTGCCGATCGCCAGCGCGACGTTTTTCCGCTACCTCTTCTTCCTGTGGATGGGCGCCGCCATTTACCACTGGGTCGCGTTGTTCGTCTGCGCGCTGCCAAAGGTGCGGGCTGGCGCGAGTGGTGCAACGAGGGTTTCACTGCTCTCAACTGGCCCCATAGTGGCCGCGACGCCGAGCACCTCCCGCAGGTCGGTGGTGACCCGCCCGCCGTGCAGGCTGCCTCGGTGGACTACCTCTCGAGCCTGCATCTGCCGCCTACTCGGAGAGGAGCAGTGCCTGCGAAGCATCCCTAGTAGAGATGCTCGCCCAGGCTCCTGGCTACGCTGGTGACAGCGGTCGGGTGCGCCCCTACAGCCAGCCTCTCGTGGCCTGGCTCAAGTCGACGAAGGCTGCGTCCACCTCCGACGTCGTCTCGGATGCCGACTCCATCGCGCTGCAGGGTTGGAGGCAGACTATGCTGAATCCCGAGTCGGTTGCTGCGGAGCTCCGCGACGCACTGGGCATTCAGCGCCCGTGCGTCGACCCCGAGCTTCGCTATCAGCCTAAGTCGCACGCCCAGTTTTTGAAGCAGCTGGAGGCTCACGACATGATCTCATGGAGAGCCGCCAGTTCTCAGTCGTTTCACACAATCGGTTTATTCTTCGTGGAGAAATCCAATCACATGCTCAGGCTCGTTTTCGACACTAGGCTGGCCAACTGCAGCTTTGCCACGCCGCCAGCCACCAAGCTTCCCACGCCCAGCGCGTGGGCCAGTGTCGACTGCGACGACAGCTTCGTGTTTGCGCAGGGTGATATATAATGTGCCTTCTACCATCTGCGCCTGCCCCCAGGGATGGAGGTGATCTCCAATCGTCACATCGGCCTCACATCGATCAATGGGAAGCCTGTCGGTATCCACTACTTTGTGCAGCCATTGGTCACGGTTGTTCCCATGGGTTGGAGCTGGGCCCTTCACTTTTGTCAGAGCGCCCTCGTTCGTGCCCTAACCGATGCTGGATTCGACAGTGGTGACATGATTGTGGACGGAGGATGCCCCCGTAAGCTTATCTTTCAATATGACGCCATATGTGCTGGATACGTTGACAATTTCTGCGTCGTGTCAAAAAAAAAAAAAAAAAAAAAAACCTGAGATTGCCACTCGCCGTGCTCGTGCGGTCGCCGACCTTCTAACGTCCCGAGGCCTCCCCGTCCTGGAGTTCTCGGAGGCCGTCAGTAAGGGTGTCTTCACGGGCTTGCAGATCGACGGTCTCTCGGGTGTCGTTCGAGTTCGGCCCGATCGCCTCGCGCGCACGCGGCAGGCTGTACTCGGACTCTTACGGCGTGGGCGGGACTCCGCGGGGGCTCTCAGCGTGCTGGTGGGCCACTGTACTTGGGGTATGATCTTGAGGCGGGATGTCTTGGCGATCTTCAACTCAGTCTATAGGTTCATCAACGTGGCGGGCGCTCACCCCGCGCCTCTTTGGGACTCAGTTGTCAGGGAACTTCGTGCCGCAGTTGCCTTGATCCCCCTCTGGAGCGCCTCTACTAGGTCCAGGTGGTCGTCTAGGGTCCACGCGCCTGACGCGTCGACGTACGGGAAGGGCGCGTGCGTCAAGGTGATCCCCCCCGACCTGGTCTCGGACGTAGGCCGCGTGGCCGAGAAGTGGAGGTGCCACCAGGGCTCCAGCGTGCTCGCGAGGGCCCACGCCTTCAGCCCCGCTGAGCCCCATCAGGATGTCGCCGACCATGCTCCTCCTGCCGCGTCGCTCCCTGCTGCTGTTGCGTCGTCGTCGACTACGTCTGGCTTCTTGGAGGTTCCCGAGGCAGTCTTTGGGTTTGACGGGTGGAATACGATCCATTCGAGCAGGCACACACACGGTTTGGGTGTGATATTTTGCCGTATGAGGCTGAAGCCTTGGGGTTCAGCATTCACCATGCCTCGAGGACCCTCGGAGTCCATCATCATCGCATGCTATGCCTCGTTGACCTCGCGGTGGGCAAAGGGCGGTCGGGCAGCCCGCACCTCGTGCGCGCCCTGAGGCGGCTCTCTGGCGTCACTTTGGCACGCGGGCTGCGGCTGCTGGTCCGATGGGTGCCCTCTGAACGGAATGTCGCCGACAGGCCGTCGAGGGAGGGCTTCTTCGTCGGGCCGAGCTTCGAGGATTTCCTGGAGGGGCAAGTCGCGCGGCGGCCTCGTCGGGCCCAAGGAGGTGATCAGGACTGCGAGGTCTCGGGAGACCCACACTGGGCCCTCCAGTCTCTCGCGAGGGAGTCTCTCAGCGCCGGGGGCGTCAGCCGTCTCGGCCTCCACGGGCAGGTACTACCACGATCGCGCCCAGAAGTTTCTGAGCTGGTGCCTGTGGACCGCGCTGGACGCCTCCTGCTCCGTCGACCTCGGCACCGTGCTGGCGGTGCACGTCGTGCATCTGTTCCTGTGCGAGTACGACCACGCGACGGGCCGCGCCAAGCTGGCCGCCCTGAAGTGCCAGCTCCCCTTGATGCTGGTCGGGAGTCGGCCGATGCCGCGGGCAGTTCGGGCGCTGCAGGGGGGGGCGCAGTTCGCTCTGCCCCTGATCCGCCATCAGCTGCCTCGGATGGCGATGTTCGCGACAGTGGGCGTCCTCCTGGCGCAGGGCCGCCTGTCCGAGGTGGAGTTCGCGCGCCTGGCCTTCGACACGTGCCTCCGCCCGAGGGGGGCCCACCGCCTCGCGGCCTCTTCGTTCCTGGCCCCGCGGGTCGGGTCGAAGGAAGGCTACCAGCTCTGGGCCAGCCTGGTCAACGAGGCGGCCAGCGGCAGGCCTGGTCAGACGGGGGTGACCGACGTGAACGTGATCGTGAACGACCCGTCGCGGCCGCTCTCACCCGCGCTAGTGTTCTTCGGCGGCCAGGTCGGGGCCAGGCTGCTACAGCTGATGGAGGTGACGGCGAGGACGGGCACCCCCCCGCTCCGCCCGCCGCCCCTGGTGCCCGCGTCGGCGCCGGCTGCAGAGAGGACGGCGCCCGCGCTGACCGATCGGTGGAGGTTCGACTGAATGGGCTGTGGCGGCGTGCCCGTTTGCGGCATCCGTTTTGCCGTATTTCGTTACATTGTGTATCTGTGTGCCGCCTCGTGTTCGATTGGCCTGCGATGATCGCGGGCTAGGAACAGTGGCCATCAACCGAGCCAGACATCGTGCAGAGGACGCCTCGGATCCTCGCGTGTTGCAGACGCTGCTGGGCTGGGTGCGATCGTCGGCCGTCTCAGGGCCGTGGGCGTCCTTGCCGTCTGCGACTCGGTCCGCCAGCGGCGCTCGATGCCGCCGCCTGGGCGCCCCGCTTAAGGGCGTCAACCGTGACGACACCGATCTTCGCGCCATTCGCGTGGCGAACGCCCTAGCAGAGTCTGTCTTTAAGTTGATTCGCGAGTGCACGGCTCGTCAGGTGCCCGTGATTTTCTGGCACCCAGAATCAAGCCTGATCTGGCGACATCCGCTCCTTTCCTCGCCCCTCGCCTCTGCCTCCTCTTCTCGCTCTCTCGACTCCTGCATGTTCTCGGGTCGTGTTCGGCAGAGATTGTGTTTGATCGGATGGGGCGTCCGAGATCTCCATTGCCTGTCACGCCGTTGCCTCTGCGCCCAAGGCCTGAGTGACCGTACTGGCCGCCGCCGCCTTGGCGGCCTAGGGCGTCCTGCGCTGGATGCCGTTGCACGTTGTTCCGCCCGTGGGCTTCCCTTTCAGGTAGCCACCGCAGGCACTGACATGATAGTGGCCGCTGCTAGGCAATTATCTCGGGCCGCTGGATACAAGAAAGTGTTTGGTCAATGATGTGCTGCGGCTGTGGCCATTTGGTGGGGCTAGCGTTAGTTACCGAGTCTGTGCTTCGAGGCTGGCCGTTGCTCTCGTGCGCCGTCGCCCTCCTGCGCAAAAAGTACCCGATGGCCTCGAGAGAGCCCCACATACAGCGACTTGTCGGCATTTGTGGGCTTGCATGTGGCCGCACCTCCTTGCTCAAGTTCTTCCCTGGGCCTGGGCCCTCCCGCCCAACTTGAGCCGAAGTTTAACTGTTTCGTGCTTCACTGACCGAGTCTGTGCTTCGAGGCTGGCCGTTGCTCTCGTGCGCCGTCGCCCTTCTGCACAAAAAGTACCCGATGGCCTCGAGAGAGCCCCACATCAGAAAGAGCGTGTTCTACCGCTACTGGCGGAAAACCGGGGGGGTCAACCGAACCACTACTGGTCGAACCCCCCCCCCCCCCCCCCCCCCCCCCCCGGGAAAACCGGGGGGGGTCACTGCCGGTTCGAACCCCTCCCCCCCCCAGCTCATCATGAAAAGGGGGGGGGTCACTACCGGTTCGAACCCCCCCCCCCCCCCTCGAAAACCGAGTGGGGGCGCGGACAGTGGTGGGGACGGTGTTGGTGGGGACAGTGGTGAGGGGACAGCGGGACAGTGGTGGGGACAGCGGGGGGGGGACAGTGGGACAGTGGTGGGGACGGTAGTGGTGGGGACAGTGGTGGGGACAATGGTGGGAACAGGGGGGACAGTGGACAGTGGTGGGAACGGTGGTGGTGGGGACAGTGGTGTGGGGACAGTGGGAATGAGGTGGAAACACTGGGACAGTGGAGGGTACAATGGTGGTGGAGACACTGGTAAAGGCGGTGGCGAGGACGGCGGTGGGACAATGGGACAGAGGTACAGTGGGGACAGTGGCGGGGACAGTGGGGACAGTGGTGGAAACAGTGGGACAGCTCAGTGGGACAGCGGAGGAGTCAGTGGGACAGTGGGGACAATGGGGATAGGCAGTGGTTGGGTCCGTGGAGACAGTGGGGAGAGTGGAACCGTGGTGGGAACAGTTGTGGGAACAGTGGGGACAGTGCGACAGTGGTGGGGGCATTGGTGGGGACAATAGGGACGGTGGTGGAACCAGCGGGGACAGTGGTGGTGAGGACAGTGGTGCTGGGAACAACAGTGGGGGATGTGATGCGAGCGGTGGTAGGGACCGGGAGTCGTTTGCTGGCGGTGCGTGGGGGGGGGGGGGTCGAACCGGTAGTGACCCCCCCCGGTTTTCGAGGGGGGGGGGGGGGGAGGGGTTCAACCGGTAGTGACCCCCCCCCGGATCCGAGTGGGGTGGGGGGGGGGTTAGACCGGGTAGTGACCCCCCGGTTTTCGAGGGGGAGGGGGGGGGGGGAGGGGTTAGGGGAGGGGGGGGGTTTTGCCGGGAGGGAGGGGGGGGGGGGGGGAGGGTTCCGGCAGGGGGGGGGGGGGGGATTTTCGGAGGGGGGGGGGGGGAGACCCCGGGGTCCGGAGGAAAAGGTTGGCAATTTTCCATAGTAAAGCGGCGGTGGATCACGCTCTCATCCATCATCATCATCATCATCATCATCATCATCATCATCATCATCATCATCATCATCATCATCATCATCATCATCATCATCACCATCATCATCATCATCATCATCATCATCATCATCATCATCATCATCATCATCATCATCATCATCATCATCTCGTCACCAACATCGCCACTATCATCGTCGTCGTGTCTACAATTGTCGACCTTGCCATGATACCGCACCCGCCCAACTACTGGCCGCTGCGCGCGCGCATTTGCGGGCTGGCGCGGCCGCAGAGATGCATCAGCCAGCGCCAAACACTCACCGCAATCGCCGCCGCATGAGGTTTGCAAACTAAGTTGCGGGTGGGTGGGTGGGATGTTTGCGCGAGCAGTGGAGTGAACAACTCATTGCGAACAGGAGTTCATTGCACCACATAGAGTACACGACACGGATCGCACCACCTCCAGTGCACTGCACAGGTTCCCCTTCCTTAAAAAATATAGGTTCTACCACCCTCCCTCCCCGGACTTACGGGTTCCCCTGTTCGTATTGCAATTTGCATACGATTCTGCCCCATTGTCCATTCTAAGGATGATATTGCACTATCCAAGGGGGGCCGGTATCGGCCACCCCCGGCATCCTCTGCAAAAACAGCATATGCGCGCACATTCGTTTATCAACAATCATACGTTTTCAAGAATCCTCTTGCAACAAAAGCGACGAAGTGCACACCCTCGCGTTGTCGCGCGCGCGTGCCGGAATCCTTCCAAAACGCTCGGTGTCGGAAGGCTTTCAGAATCGATCGTCCAACATACATACAACAGCACAAGGTTTCGCAAAACGGATTTTCAACAAAAAACGTGCGTTCGCGTTCTTGCGAAATCTTAAGTCCTGCGAATTCTTGAGACAACCATAGGTTTTTCAACAGTTGTCAAAAAATACTACCGAAGGGCTTCGCGCGCGCATGTCGAAATCGTTCGAACGCCCTTGCGCGCGTGTACCGTGGCGAAAATCTTCTGCAACTAGTAGGACGAAGTTCACGCGCGCGCGTCGTCGCGCGCGCATGCCGAAATTCTTCAACAATCTTTGGTTTCGGAGAGGTTCCAGAATCGAGTGTCCAAGAAACATACAAAAAACAAATGGTTTCGCAACACGGGTGTTCAACAAAAGCGTGTGCGCGCGCTTTTGTGTCGTCGTCGTTGTCGTCGTCGCCGTCCTCCCTCCTCCCTCGTCGTCGTCGTCGTCGCCGCCGTCGTCCTCTGTCTTTCCTCGTCGTCGTCGTCCTCCTTGGCGTCGTCGTCGTTTCCGTCGTCGTTGTCGCCGTGCTCGTCCTTCCTCCTCCCTCGTCGTCGTCGTCGTCGTCGTCGTAGTCCGTCGTCGGCGTCTAGTCGTCGTCCCTCCTATTTCGTCGCCGTCGTCGTCGTCGCCTTCGTCGTCGTCGTCTCTCCTCCTCCCTCGTCGCTGTCGTCGTCGGCGTCGCCGTCCTCCCTCCTTCTTCGTCGTTCGCGTCGTCGCCGTCCTCCCTCCTCCCTCGTCGTTGTCGTCGTTGCCGTCGTCGTCGTCCTCCCTCCTCCCTCGTCGTCGTCGTCGTTTTCGCTGGCGACGTCGTCGTCGTCGTCGTCGTCGTCGTCTTCGTCGTCGTCGGCGTCGTCGTCGTCGTTGGCGTCATCGTCGTCGTCGTCGTCGGTGGCGTCGTCGTCGGCATCGTCATCGTCGTCGTCGTTGTCGGCGTCGGCGTCGTCGTCGTCGTCGGCGGCGTCGTCGTCGTCGTTGTCATTGTCGTCGAAGTCGCAGTCGTCGGAGTCGTCGTCGGTGTCGTCGTAGTCGTCTTCGGCATCGTCGTCGTCGTTGTCGCTGTCGTCGTCGGCGTCGGTGTCGCTGCCAAGGGCAATTTGGTAGTTACTGTCACGGTCTTAAGACGTCTTGCGGACGTCTTGCGACCAAGTTGCGGGTGGGAGGGTGGCATGTTTGCACGAGCAGTGGAGAGGGCAGTTTCAAGACAGTCAAAGTGAATTCTCCTTTCTAAAAAAGAATAGACTCTACCCCCCCCCCCCGGACTGCTCGGTTCCCCTTGGCATAGTATGATTTCATGTGTTTTCTGCACACTCGTCCATCCTAAATATGAAATAATACCATCCCAGCTAGGCCGGGCTCCCCCCCTTGAGGTTCCCTGGTAAAAAACACTATACGGCGACTTTTTTTGTTCTAACATAAGCACTTTGTCATTAATCCCTTGCAAAAAATGGGAAGAAGTGCGCACGCGCGCGTCGTCGCGCGCGCATGCCGAAATCCTTCAAAAACCTTCGGTGCCGGAAGGATTTCGCAATCGAGTTCCCCAAAAACATACAAACATATAGGGTTTCGCAACACTGATTTGCTAAAAAAGCTTCCACGCGAGCTCTTACGAAATCTTAAGAAAACCATAGGTTTCTCAAGATTTTCGCAAAATCCTACCAAACGGGCTTCGCGCGCGCGCATGTCGAAATATGTCGAACGCCCTTGCGCGTGTGCCGTCGCGAGAATCCTTTGCAAAAAATTGGACGAAGTGCAGACGCGCGCGTCGTCGCGGGCGAATGCCGAAAACCTTCCAAACCCATCGGTTTTGGAAGGATTTCAAAATCGTGCGTCCAAAAAACCTACAAAAACCCAAGGTTTCGCAACACGGATTTTCAACGAAAGCGTGCGCGCGCGCTCTTGCGTCGTCGTCGTCGTCGTCGCCGTCCTCCCTCCTCCCGCGTCGTCGTCGTCGTCGTCGCCTACGTCGTCCTCTGTCTTTCTCGTGTTCGTCGTCGTCGTCCTCTTTGGCGTCGTGGTCGTTTCCGTCGTCGTTGTCGCCGTGGTCGTCCTTCCTCCTCCTCCCTCGTCGTCGTCGTCGTCCGTCGTCGGCGTCTCGTCGTCGTCCCTCCTATTTCGTCGCCGTCGCCGTCGTCGTCGTCGTTGTCGTCGTCGTCTTCCCTCCTCCCTCGTCGTTGTCGTCGTCGGCGCCGCCGTCCTTCCTCCTTCGTCGTCGTTCGCGTCGTCGCCGTCCTCCCTCCTCCCTCGTCGTTGTCGTCGTTGTCGTCGTTGTCGCCGTCGTCGTCCTTCCTCCTCCCTCGTCGTCGCCTTCGTTGTCGTCGTCGTCGTCTTCGTCGTCGTCGGCGTCGGCGTCGTTGTCGTCGTCGAAGTCGTCGGAGACGTCGTCGGTGTCGTCCTAGTCGTTGTCGTCGGTGTCGTCGTAGTCGGTCTTAACAGGTTTTGCAAACCAAGTTGCGGGTGGGTGGGTGGGATGCTTGCGCGAGCAGTGGAGATGACGACTTCAAGTTCAGCAGAGTGGGTTGCAAACCATAGACCGCACCACCTGGACTGCACCACATAGATTGCTCCGCATAGATTCCACCACATAGCTTGCACCGCACATACATATGTTGACACAATGTAGGTTACATCGCATCGGTTGCATAAGAAAGATCACGCGACATACTCTGGACCACGCAGATTGCAAACCATATTTTGATCCACTTGGGTTGCACCACGTAGATAGCTCTGCATATATTCTGATTTCTTGTCCAAAAGAGAATGCGGATCTACCCCCCCTCTCTCTCTCTCTGTAATTAACGGCTCGCCTTTTCGTCTTTCAACTTTCTTCTGGTTCCAGAGCTCGGCGCGCAGGTCGCCCCCAGGGGGGGAGCGAGGGAGGGAGGGAGGGGGCGTCGCACATGCGCGCCTCGCCACCGGCTCCATGCAGCGCGTGCGCCCCCGCGCCTCTGCACACAATCGGCCACACACAAAGACAACATATTGTCTGTCGCTGGTGGGCGGGGGGCGACCCGCGCGCCTCCAGGGGGGGGGGGGGGAGGGAGGGAGGGGGCGCCCACCCCGACGCCTCGCCCCCCTCTCCTCCCTCGTGCTCCGACAGGTGATGCTGGACTTGCACGGCTGCCCCGGCGGCGAGAGCGGGGAGGCGCCCTGCGGCCGCCGCCAGCGCCCCCACGGCACGTGGACCTGGCGCTCGTGGCGCGTGCGGCAGTCGCTGGAGGCGGCCCTGCCCTCAGCGGTGGCGGATGCCGCGGTCGTGGAAGACGCGGGCGCGGCACCAGGGGGTGGCTCTCTGCAGCGTCGAGTGATATGAGCTCGCTCTCGTGCGCGGGCTGCATTTAAGTCGGGCATGTCCCCCTGCAGGAAGAACACTCAAACAGATTCAAGAGAACGGCTCGCTGCGCAAGAGCCGACCCCGAATGGAGCCCCTCCCGCTCGGCTTTGGCGGTCGCCGCGGTGAGCGATCACGGCGGCCACACATCGGGCAAGGCTGCTGCCAAGGAGTTGTCTGCCCCTTCCCAGCCCCCCCCCGCTCTGCAATGCAGACGTGGCTCGTGGTTACCAATGGTCGATACAGAGTTGTCAGTTCATGCCCAATTCGGGCAATTTTGTTTTAGGGGAGGATGATAACGCAACCCGCAGTTTCGGCCAGCGCATGCCTAAAGCATTATGGGGCATCTTGGAGCCTGGGCGAGTCGTCCAGCGGAGAGCTTGGCATCGCTCGGACGTGTACTTTTCTCTCGACGAGGGACACCGAGAAAAACGTTTGGCCATCTTGCGAACAAATACACGCACGAAACCGACCAATGCACGGGGAATGGACGTTCCAGCGATGGCGAGAGAGGATTTGCATTGTTTTACCCCACATCCAAAGTGCCAAAGTGGGGCTCTCTTTTGGGACACCCCGATCAGGAACATGAACACGCCCTCCCTTTACACTCACACGCACACGCACATCATCATCATAATCATCATCATCATCATCATCATCATCATCAGCAGCAGCAGCAGCAGCAGCATCATTACCGCATCAACATCACTTACACACTCGCACACACTTTCGTTCTCCACCTCACCCACTCACTCACAACTATTACTCATCTCTCACGATCATCAGCATCATCATCATAACACCATCGTCAACATAGCCTCGTCTGTGAGTGAATTGCGGGGACGTCTCAGGCGGGAGCCCCCTCCCTATGTGGCCCGCCGCTCATGTTTTCAATCCGAGCGGGTCAGCAGAACGCTGTAACCGTCGTCGCTTTTGGGCCCCTGAGGCCTGAATATGGAAGAAGTATCAGGCGGGAGCCTCGATTGTGAGTGAATTGCGAGGAGGTCTCGGGCGGGAGCCGTCTCTATGGGCCCGCACCTCATGTTTTAAATCCGAGCGGGTCATCGGAACCGTGTAATTGTCGTCACTTTTGGGCCCCTGAGGCCTGGATGTGAAGAAAGTATAAGGCGGGAGCCTCGTCTGTGAGTAGACTGCGAGGCAGGCTCAGGCGCCTCCCTACGGGGCCCGCCGCTCATTGTCTAAATCCGAGTGGGTCATCGGAACCATGTAGTCGTCGTCACCTTTTGGGCCCCCGAAGCCTGAATATGGAGGATGTATCCGGCGGGAGCCTCGTCTGTGAGTGAACTGCGAGGAGGTCTCGGGCGGGCGCTCCTTCTCTATGGGGCCCGCACCTCATGCTCGATTCCGAGCGGGTCATCGGAACCGTGTAATTGTCGTCATTTTTGGGACCAAGATGCTTGTTTTTGAAGAAGAATCAAGCGGAAGCTTCGTCTGTGAGTGAATCGGAGGAAGTCTCAGGCGGAAGACACCTTTCAATGGGGCCCGCACCTCATGTCATCCAAGCCCTGTAATCCGAGCGTGTCATCCAAGCCCTGTGACTGTCATCACTTTGGGGCCCTTGAGGCTTGAATATTGAGGAAGTCTCGAGCGGGAGCCTCTTCTGTGAGGTGAGTGGTGAGTGAGCTGTAAGGAAGTCTCAGGCGGGAGCGTCAGTTTTGCGCTCTTCAGAGGGTGACTCGCTCGATCCATCAGATGAGGAGGAAGGGGAGGAAAAGGAGTTGAGGAGGACGACGGCGGCCGGGCGCAGGGGAAACCCTTAAGCGTCTGGGCTGGGGGGTTGTAACCCATCCTCGGCCGAAGCGGCGGCCGGGCGCAGGGGCGAACCCTTGCGTCCGGGCTGGGGGTGGCAACCCATCCTCCGTCGAAGTGGGCGCATGGGGGAACCCTTGCGTCCGGGGCGCCGCTGGTAACCCATCCTCGACCGAATCGGGGGCAGGGGGAAACCCTTGTCTCCAGGCTGGCGGTGGTAACCCATCGTCGGCCGAATCGGGCGCAGGGGGGAACCCTTGCGTCTGGGCCAGGGATGGTAACCCATCCTCGACCGAATCGGGGGTTAGTGGAAACCTTTGCGTCCGGGCTGGCGGTGGTAACCCATCGTCAACCGAATCGGGCGAAGGGGGAAACCCTTTCGTCTGGGCAGCCGAATCGGGCGCAGGGGGAAGCCCTTACATCCGGGGCGACGGTTGTAAGCGATCGGCGGCCGAAGGGGAAGCCCTTGCGTCCAGGGCGCGGGTGGTAACCCATCCGCGCCCTTACTAAAAGCACCGCTCGTGCTCGTGGGTAAGGGGCCACTAACGCAAGTTGCTGACCGCCGCGGTCAGCAACTTGGGTTTGGGGTCTCTAATGCGCTCCGGGCAAGCCGCCGTCCGCTTGAACGCGGAAGAGGATGAGAAATGCAATGAGTAGGACGAGAAGGAACAGGAGGAGAAGGAGGAGGAGGAGGACGGAGAGGGCGGAAGGAAGCCTCCGCCAGACGAAGAGGAAAACGGCGAGGGGCAAGCTGAATCGATTATCATGTGGGGTCCTCCCGTCGAGTAATTTACGCAGCGGGCCGGCCCCGTCCAGAGAGGCAAGGTCCGCCCGCGCGCCGTCGCTCGAGCGGGGATCTCCCCACCACGGCGACCGCCGTCTCCGATTGCTCGACACATTGGAGGGTACAGCCAACCCGCATGGTAAGGATGAGCCCCCTTCCAAGGCTACCCTTGCATCCTTGCCCATCCTCAGCGACTTTCGCTGGCCAGCCTCCCTCGGAAGACGTGAATTGATGTGGCCCTCCAAGGCCCCTGCATCCAGGAGCATTTTTCCAGGGCTATCCTTGCATTATTGTCCATCCTCCGCGACTTTCGCTGGCCAGCCTCCCTCGGAGCACGTGAATTAGCATGGCCCTCCAGGGCCCCTGCATCCCTACCGCGCGTCCTCTGTGTTGTGCGGGCTGACCGTGCCGCGGGCCCACGGGAGGCGCCCCAGGCAGGGCCGCACCCTCGGGGTCGAAGGAGCGGGCAGCCCTTCCCCGGCGCCAGGGCGGCGGACGGGCGGCGAGGGCAAAGCGAGGACAGCACCTGCGCCGGCGGAAGCCGGCGGAAGGCTGGCGGGAGCGGGCGGAAGTGAACCAGGAGGGGAAAACACACACAGACACAAGTAATCGTCGATTCCCCGGAAAATATTGAAACATATGGGAAGTGGGGGGGGAAGACAAAAGCCTCGAAAACATTTGAAAAAGTATGGGGGATCCTTTGATTTGTGGGTCTTTATTTGTGTGTCTCAGGGCCCCTTCAGTGATGGAAACCCGTTTGGGTTCCAGGCCTTCGCGAGTTGTCGGCCACACGGGGCGCTCTAGAAGGGGCCCTGCCTTCGAGGAGCGAAGGAGCTGCCATCTCTTCCTGGGCGGAAGGCGGCCGGAGGCCGGCGGAAGGCGGCGGACGTAAAGCGGCGGCTTGCTCCGCCGGCGCAGGCCAGCGGAAGATGGGCGGAAGCCGGCCGAAGCAAACGTGGACCTCTCAAGAGATGACACAATTAATCGGCGATTCCCGGAAAATATGGGAAAATATAGGAAGTGGGGGGGAAGACAAAAACCCAGAAAATATGGAAAAATATGGGGGTATTTTATTTGTGTGTATTTATTTGTGTGTCCCAATTTCCCTTTAAACATGTTTGGGTTCAGGGTTTCCAGAAGCAGTTACATTCGGAAGCTGGAGCCTGCATTACTTTTGGTTGGCCGTTTTCTCCATCCCCGGAGTTTTTGAGGGTCGGGGACGACGTCGGGCTGGTGTGGTGTATTATTCGTTTCTCCGCTTTCCCGGGGAAACAAATAAAAATGTATACGCCAGCATCCGCTTTCCTGTGCGAATTCATTTCGGCGCGGGCTGCTCGGTGTATGGAGCTCGGCTCCTTAGACATGTCGTCCAGTTCAACTGCCCCGCCAGAGCACGGGGGCCCCCCTCCCTGGGCAGGGCCAGGCCTGCCGGACCGAGCCGTGCCAGGCCCCGGAGGAGAGCCCCGAGGCTCCCCTCGGCTCGGCGGTGCTGCTCTCCCGCCCGAGGGTGCAGCCCCCGGGTGCAGGAGGCGGCACGCCTGCTCGGGAGCCCTGAGACGGGGGCCCCTGCAGACGGGGGTCGGCCAGAGCGCCCGATCCTGCAGGCTCCTGCAGGCTTTCTCCTCTTCCTCCTCCTCCTCCTCCTCCTCCTCCTCCTCCTCCTCCTCCTCCTCCCTCCTCCTCCTCCCCCCTCCTCCTCCTCCTCCTGCACTGACCCGGGCCCTGTCCTGCAGGTGCCTGCAGGGTCCTGCGCCTGGGCCCGGGCCCGGACCTCTTGCAGGGCCCCCCCAGGATTCTGCAAGGCCCGACTGGCCCGGGCTCGCATCTGGCCCGGGTCAGAAGGTCCCCGACCCGAGCCGAGACGGGGGCGCGGCCCCGACCCCCGAGCGTGCCCTGAGATCCGATCGGCGCCCCGCCAACGTGCTCATCCAGGCCTCTCCATACGTGGGGTCCGAGAACAGTTGAGTCAGGCCTGTCCCTCTACAAGAGGACTATTCAAAAAGAGTTTGAAAATAGTCTAGGGACGATTGTTCTACCAGGCTTGCATATTGTTGGGCACTTTTAAAACTATGTTGAATGTTTTCTCCACAATCCGCCTGTAGGGGGACATGCCTGACCTGAGCGTAGATGGGGTCGGAGGATCGCGCCGCATCGCCGATGCATCGCCGATGCGGCTCGATGTGGAGCCCGATGTGCGTCACGTCGACGTCGCCGATGCATCGCCGACGTCGCCGATGCATCGCCGATGCATCGCCGATGCATCGCCAATGCATCGCCGTTACATCGGCGATGCATTGGCGATGCGGCGAGATCCTCCGACCCCATCTGGGAGCCCTCTGAACA